TTAACCCCTTAGGTTCCACAGTGAGTATAACAAGCATGCTTTGCGGCATATGCAGACTGATTTTACTGTTGTGGGTTTAGTAACACTTTAAATGCAACACGTGGAAGGACCCAAATTTATGTTTACATCAGCCTCTCACAATCCCTTTAACAACAGCAAACAGACTGACTGGGAACTATTCACATTGGCTGCATGCATATGTGTGGACTAGGTAGCATGCTGATAGGAGAAGATAGACGGTGGGTAGGGAGATGCACTCATCACCCCAAGACTGATCTTTCATCAATGATAACACCAATGTTCCATGAGCTGTAGATGTGAACATTATTTTAGGCGTTCCCCAAGATCTCACATTTTTTGCCAAGGATTCCTCTAAGGTTAAAAAGTTGAGAAACCCTGAATTTAGTGATCAGTTTCAGGCTCGCTGCTACCATGGCTTAGAAGCAAATCCTGCGTGTTTAAGATTTGTAATCCTAGCTAATGTTGTTGCAGATTCACCCTGGAGAATTTTTGTTTAAACCATAATAGACTTTATAGTCTTTGAACTATGGCCAGCAAGTTTTGAAGGATCAATAGGGGGCTTTTAGATAAGCCAACCACATTACTATAAAAGAGAGCAAAGAGCATATATAGAGTCAGTGAATAGGAAATTGTTATAGGGAAAGCTGACAATATTCATAGGGAGAGATTAGGGTCAGTTAGGAAACTGAACCTTATTTTCTGATTGCCAACGATTTGTACAATCAACCCCGTTTGCTCCCTTTTTACTGTTGCTGGGGGCTTTTTTGTCTTTCATTTTTATTTTGTGGTTGTTTTGAGGTCAGTATTCACTTTTAGTTGCTGTTGCCTCCATAGCAAACTTTAAATTGTGTTGCCCTTTAAAAAAATTAGGTTTTTGTTCCAGTGAGTGGTATGTAATTTATTTGAGGAGTATAAAACTTTTTATACTCCCAATTGCCAAAAGCCAGCAGTTGCTGTGTAAATGCAGCGGCTCTAGCAGCTGCTGCTGTTGAAAAAAAGCAAACAACAAAAAAAAGTCATCTGACATCAACCCTGTTCAGATGCAAAATGGAAAAATGCAAAGTAACATTGTTACATCTGTTTTATTCATCTGCAAATCAAGAGTGATGAGCTTTGATCTGCAGATGACATCAGTTAAAGGGTAACAATACTTTTGTGGGCAAAAATTCACAAATTTAAAAAAAAAACAATATAGCATATACATTTGTGACTTAAGTTATATTGTAATTGAATGTTATTAATAATTACCTTTCCTTTTCAATCTGCAGCCCTGTAATTTTTTAAAAATGCAATACAATGCAATATGGCAACCTAGAGACATTCTGTACATAGATGGTGTATAGACCGCCCCCTGAAAATGTCATTTCCTGCTTAAGTGATTGGCTCACTGATTTTCCCAGAAGTCTGCACTAAGATGCAAGTCATATTTTTGGCATCCCATGCAACAAAAATATAATTTTTAGTGAGATACTCCCAAACGGAAATCAAAAGAATGCAGACCCTGTCAATTTCCTCATTAGCGTCTTGCAGGTGCATCAGCTAATTGATAATTATAAAACTACTCCCATACAGATTTACTCTGCAGATGGACTGCATGTAAACACAAGCACGTTTAAATGCAGGAGAAGCTGACCTGCTAAACATAAGATTTATTTGGGAGGGCAGTGTGAATGTATTCTAATTGGATAAAATGCAAGGAAATGTTCATTTATTGCAGAGATACATACTGCATGTCTTTTTTTTAATACTTTAATAAATCAAATTAGGGTCACACGCCTATTTCTCTATCCTTGAGGAGATAGGAACAGCTCAAAGCAAATCTATGCAGGATGCGCAAGGACATGTTCAGATCATTTATCAGGAATGGAAAAAACACCCACTTTGTTTAAATTTACCCTCCAGCAGCACAGGCACACTTAACCATATATTCACAGCATCAAAGAAGCTTGAAATGTGGTAAGTTCAATAAAGATGAAGTATAGAAACTGTAATCTTCCAATATTTATACCATGGTCTGATGACCTTTATGACATCTTTATCAGACCTGTGCCTACCTAGGACCATTGCAAGCTAACATCTATAGGCTGGCATTTGTGATCTAGAATGGGGGCAAACAGTGGCATGGAAGAATTACTATAACCACCTGGGGGATTGATTTATACTTTTAAAATGTATATTTTTATTTAGACATATTACACTGTTATATTTGTGGGGGTTTCACTCAAGTGTAGTTTGTTTCCAGTGAGTTCACTCCAGCCAGAAAAGTTTAGGGCTTGTTGTCCCACTTTTATTTAACCTCCCTAACGGTATTCCCGAGTGTAGCTCGGGGTAAAATGTCTATACCAAAAGCGGTAACCCCGAGCTACACTCGGGCTTACCATACGGCGCTGCATAGGGAGTCCCTGCAGCACTTACCTTGTCCTTCGCTCCCGCGATGTGTCCCCTGCAGCGTCCCCGGCCATCTCCTCCGGCTGATGCCGGCATCCAGCTCCTGTGTTCCAGTCCCTGTGACGTCGGGACGTATGGGCGCCGGCGGGAAATTTGAAAATTTTTAAAAAATGGCATTTTTTTCAAAACGATTTTACATGGTAAAACATTGCTGTTTCAACCCATTTCACATACATTTTGTCCCTAGTGCTTTGTCCTGTCCCGTCTGCATTTTGATTGTTCTTTCTGCCTGGAAACTTAGAAAAGTCCATGGCGTCCAAAAAGTGTCCCTTTAGGTCAAAAGCTGGTTTAGATCAGCTAGAGAACAGCGATAGTAAATCAGAACCACTTGCAGAATTCAGTGATAATGATTCGTGGAGAAATTCGTCATCAAACACTGAAACGATTTTCCGACTTTGCCCAGCGATGTGCGAACTTGGCGCTATATTTCAAATTTCAGTGTTTTTGGTTTGATTATATTATTGAATTAAATGTATGATTTAGAATCTTGTTCAGACAGATTTCAGTGAGTTATTCCTAAAAATTACAGCCTACAAAAAAAAAAAACTACATATTTCCATGCAAAATAATTGTACCGCTTTCAGCACCAAAAATATGAAATAATCATACCGCTAGGGAGGTTTAAGAAAGTAAAAAATGTTCTTTTTTTTTCAAAACAATTGGTCTTTTTTGTTTATTTAGAAAAAAATACAAAAAGCAGTGGTGATTAAATACAGCCAAAAGAAAACTCTATCACTCTCAAAAAAAATTAGAGAAATGTCATTTGGGTACGGTGTTGCATGTCTGAGTAATTGTCATTCACAGAGTAAATTGGCCTAGGTAGGAAAAGGGGTGAAAATATCCAGTACTGAAGTGCTTCAACATGTTAGCTAGAATAGGTGGTAGGAGGGGGACAGGAGCATTTTTAAGACTAGATAGGTTAATCATAGATTTATACTTTAAAGCAGTTGTAAAGGCTTGAGTTTTTTTTTTTCATACTTGCCTGCTCTGCACAATAGTATTGCACAAAAGTGGCCCCAAACATTCTCTTCTGGGGTCCTATGCTGGTGCTGTCCACTCCTCCTCTTCTGTGTCTGCTCCCATATTAAGCTGCATGCTATAGGGGCAGGTGTGTAGACTTGCTCCCAAGCTGAGCTGTGTGAGTCCATGGACACATACAGCATGGTTCAACCCTGCCCCTTGCTCCCTCCTCCCACAATCTGATTGACAGCAGCAGGAGCCAATGGCTCCTACTGTTGCCTCTGTGTCTGCGAGGAGAGGAACACAGACCAGCCCTGCTGCAGACCGACACAACGCTGGATCGAGATAAGACTCACGTAAGTGTACAGGGGGGTGAAATATGACTGCTGGGACATTTTTTACATTAATGCAGGGAATGCATTAAGGTACAAAATGTTCTGCCTTTAGAACAACTTTAATATTCCTAATAGAGCTCAGAATAGCAGTAAAAACTGTCCTCTCTCCATCCAAAAATGAAATAAAAAAAAAGGTTTCAGTTGAATATATACTTTTTTTGTTTAAGATGGTCAACATTTCTTTTGAACTCTCATTACATTTGCAAGCATTGACAACATTTTATACATACAGTCCTTGTGCTAAAAAAGTGCCCTGCAGAAACAGTTTTTTTTTCCCAGCATGGGATGTGTGTGGAAGAGTTTTTACTGCTATCCGAAGCTCCATTAGAGATATTAAAGTATATTTTCATATCTTCACCTCTTTATGACACACATGGTATTGGTCTTCACGAGGTGTGGTACTGATCACAAGAAGATGGTGAATATATATGATATATAGCACTTGTGATTCGTGGCACAATTCAGTGCAGAGTTGATTATATTAGTGAAACATACTTTATTTATGGTTATATATAACCCAAAGTGGATAAGATTTGTATGAAATAACCTTGAGCTGTGAGAAGCAAGCATGGAAATTTCTCTCGTCTCACTCTGTGCTACTATGTTGTGTCTAACGTCTATCAGTATCTAGACCATGGACACAACATGGTAGGTTGGGGGATAAAAGTAGTCAAGCAAAAATAGAAAAGAGAAAAAAAAAATATAACTACTGCAGAGACTGGTCTCTGTACTGGAAAGTAAACTGACCTTGTTCCAAAAGTTATACATGAAGGCTGAGCCCAACAAACAAAATATAAACCCTAACTGAATGAGCTATATCAATCAGGTACCTCCATTACTGTTTAGAAAACAGTGTAAAGAACAATACAGTACAGTGCTCAACATAAATGAGTACACCCCAACAGAACTGTCAGAAAACCTTTACTTTACTTTCAGAATCAACCTTTCTTTGGGAAACTATACTACAAAATACCCTCACAAATGCAGTCCAATTATCGCAAACAAGATTTGTTAATTTGCACAAACAAAACAGTATTTTTCCTAACTAATTCATTCAAGACCATGTTGCAAAAATGAATACACCCCAATGAAAGTCTTTGGAGCAAAGCTAAATTTTAGACAACAAAATTCTAATTACCAAGAATTCAACTACAGGTGATAATTATTTGTTAAACTGGTGTCCAGCAGACAGTTGATTATGAAAGGAAGTTACTTAATAAAGAAAACCCCTTCCCATTTTCATGCTGTCAGCAATGGCACCACATGGAAGAGAAAAATCACAAGGCCTGAGAAAGAAAATAATTTCTTTCTACAAGAAAGGTGAAGGCTACAAGAATATCATCAAAACTTTACTTATCAGTCAGAATACTGTAGCTAAAGTGATACAAACATTTAACAAATAAAATATAGTGATGTTGCGCTTAGGAATAGATATTCATGCAACTTTGATAAGTATATGCTGCAGTCCTAATTTGTGAACCAATAACACAAAAACAAACAAAATACCATGTGGACCGCGAATACATTAAGTGCATTAAATTTGGCAATACATGAGTAATATTGCTTCACATATACAAAGTGAATAATTGTAACATTCAGTCCCACTTCGGAAAAGTGCCCAGGTGTTGAATACTAATTGGTGAACTTTGTGCAAACATGACAGGTGCTCCTCTGTGCTCAGTCAGTGCCCCACATGGTTGTGCACTCACCGTTAGTCGTGGACCACCTATCTCTGGGTTGGTCTTAAGTGCCTGGTTAGGGACTAGCCTAATGCTTGATGGCAAGAATAGCACCAATATTCATTCCTGGTAATCATGCGATCTGGCTGATAGTAACCAATAAGATGATGACCAGTGTGGATATAAATGACAGTGTAGTTTCAAAAGAGCTTTTTTAAACTTTCTCCCCTCCTCCCAGGCAGTAAACCAAGTTTCAGCATGTGAACAGAAACAAAAGCAAACATCCCATAGTGTAAAACCTAAAAAACGTTAATGATTGGGAGAAATTATAAGAATAAAACTCACAACCAAAGTGCCCATAACCTGGCACTCAGTGTTTTCAGCCTTGCTGCCTGTGAATAGAAACCAAGATGGCTGCAGCATTCCAGTGTGCGCTCCAAAGGGCGGATATGACGTCAGCAGAAGTTGCGTCATCTAACCTCGACTGGTTTCGATCAATGGATCGTCATCAGGAACATTTAACAAAGATGGAACTGCAACCATCTCACAGAGATGTCCAGGCCATCCACAGAAGTGACACAATATGGCATACACTGCAGAGGAATGGCATGCATGGGTGTCGTCCATGAAGGAAGCTTCTCCTAAAACCCATGCACAAAAAAAAACTCGCCTAGATTTTCCCAGGGCCCATGCAGAAAAATGAGGAGACTACTGGGACTCTGTACTCTGGAGTGATGAGATCAAGATAAATATCTTTGGAACTGATGGCTTCAAAACTGTATCGCGTCACAAAGAAAAATGCATGGTGCCTATGGTGAAACATTGTGGGAGCAGTGTCCTTCTGTGGGCTGCATGAGTGCTGCTGGTGTAGGGGAGCTGCATTTCATTGATGGTATCATGAATTCACAGATGTACTGCTCTATATTGAAAGAGAAGATGCTACCATCACTCCGTGCCCTTGGTCATCGTGCACTTTTCCAACATCACAATGATCCAAAATACACATCTAAGGCCACTGTTGCATTTCTGTAGAAGAACAGGGTGAAAGTGACTTAGTATGTCTGCTGATCTGAACCCAAATCTAACACCTATGGGGAATACTAAAGAGACAAGTTGAGCATCACTCTCCATCCAGCATCCAGGATCTAAAAGAGGTCATTCTTGAAGAATGGAAAAAGAGAGATGTCACAATATGTCACCAACTTGTTAATTCCATGCCTAGAAGACTTAGTGCTGTTCTTACAAAATCATGGAGGAAAATTTGGAAATTGTTCTTGTGTTCATTGAGATATTGATTTAAATCTTACTTTTCCATATATATTTGGAAACAGGCACAATTTTAGTTTTTTTCAGGTATTTACCAAAACATATTCAAGCTATAGTTATATAATGGATATGGACTGAAAGTGCACACTCTCAGGTTTAATTTGAGGGTATGTACATCCAAATTGGAGGAAGGGTTTAGGAATTACAGCTCTTAAGTGTAGCCATCCCCCCTTTTTCAATGGGCCAAAAGTAATTGGACAATTAACAGAACAAGCAAAAAGGAAATAAAAGCCGCAAAAATTGAAAACGAATGACAGATTGCAAAAGATAGCAGGACCAACCCCAAAAAATTCTTCAAATATATTAATAGTAAAAAGGTTCGGTTCGAGCATGTAGGCCCTTTACAAAATAATCTAGAGTAGGTGACTGGGGACAAAGAGAAGGCAAATTTATTTAATACCTTCTTCAGCTCTGTGTATACAAAGGAGTATGGGAGAGCTCTTGTCCATAATGGGCATGGCATTGACTCAGCTCCAGATGATCCACATTGGCTCACAATTGATATGATCCAAAAATATTTAGACAGTATAAAGGTGAATAAAGCACCTGGACCGGATGGCATACACCCACGGGTCCTTAAAGAATTGAGCTCTGTCATTTCAAAGCCATTGTTTCTAATTTTTAGGGACTCTTTAATGACTGGCATAGTACCACTGGATTGGCGTAAGGCCAATGTGGTGCCAATATTTAATCACTTCCAGACTGGACACTTTTACCCCCTTCCTGACCAGGGCAATTTTCAGCTTTTAGCGCTATCACACTTTGAATGACAATTGCGCGGTCCTGCAACACTGTACCCAAATGAATTTTTTACCATTTTTTTGAGACAGATAAAGCTTTATTTTGGTGGTATTTATTCACCACTGGGATTTGTATTTTTTTTGCTATGTAAATGAAATGTCCAAAAATTTTGAAAAAAAGTGTTTTTTTTTTTATAAAATTTTGCAAATAAATAATATTTCATCATAAATCTTAGCCAAAATTTATTCCGTTATCTTTTTAGTAAAAAAAAAAAAAAAAATCCAAATTAGTTTATAAGCAAAAATTATAATTTTTAAACATTTTTTTTTTACATTTTTATTTTTATTTTTTTATTATTTTTTTTTTTTTTTTTTTTTTTTACATACTGTCACCCTAGCAGTACAGTGTCACCATGGTGACACTGTACTACTTGTGGGGGGTGATGAAGATTTTTTTTTTTTTTATTACACTGATTGCTTTTACACCCATATAGGATGTGAAAGCAATCATTTCTCTTTCTCTCTGTGTGCATTCTTGCACTCATTGAGAAGTACTGCGTGAGCTGTGATTGGTCACAGCTTGTCACATGGTACAAGGCTTTTGTGAATAGCCTTGTACCATGTGACCTCTGTGATCATTCACAGATTTCACACGTAGTAAGCAATGATGTCACAAGTGACATCTTGCTTACTACTTTGCATGTGATCACTGATTGGCCAATCAGTGATCACATGATCGGGACCTCGTACAGAGGTCCCGTCCGACGACCGGTGTTTCACTGTGTCCGGAGGACACAGCGGGCACCGGATCGCGGTGCTGCGCGCTCCCAGGGAGCACGCACAAGCAGGGTGCGGGGAGGCCGTTTATAATCGGCCACCCGACCCTGCAGTGCCACCGTCCGGCCGTTTATATACAACGGCCGGACGGGAAGTGGTTAAAAAGGGGTCAAAATCTTTACCAAGTAATTATAGACCTATTAGTTTAACTTCTATAGTTGGGAAGATACTGGAGAGTTTAATAAAAGACCACATAGATGAGTTCTTGCCGGAAAAAAATATTTTAAGCAACAGACAGCATGGATTCATGAAAGACAGAAGTTGTCAAACAAATCTGATTTCTTTTTATGAGGAGGCGAGCAAAACCTTGGACAGAGGGGTGGCGGTGGACGTGGTATACTTGGATTTTGCAAAAGCGTTTTACACAGTTCCCCACACACGGCTAATGTGTAAGGTAAAGTCTACAGGCTTGGAAAAATCCCTATGTAAATAGATAGAAAACTGGCTAAAAGATCGTATTCAGAGAGTAGTGGTTAATGATTCATACTCTGAATGGTCTGGGATCATCAGTGGTGTACCCCAAGGTTCAGTGTTGGGACCCTTACTTTTTAATATATTTATAAACAATATAGGGTCTGAGATTAGAAATCCCATTTCAGTCTTTGCAGATGACACCAAGCTGTGCAGTGGAATAACGTCCTTACAGGATGTCTTCAATTTACAAGCCGACCTCAATGCACTGTTTAATTGGGCAACTATGTGGCAAATGAGGTTTAATGTTGATAAATGTAAGGTTATGCACTTGGGGGCTAAGAATATGCATGCATCCTACATACTAGTGGGTAAATTAAGGAGGACTCTGTTGCAAATCGGAATCAATGGTGGAGAAGGATCTGGGAGCTCTGATAGATCACAAGCTTAATAATGGCATGCAATGCCAAGCTGCGGTTTCTAAAGCGAGCCAAATCCTCTCTTGTATTAAAAGAGGTATAGACTCCAGAGAGAGAGATATCATATTACCCCGGTACAAATTATTAGTAAGACCTCATCTGAAATATGCAGTTCAGTTTTGGGCACCAACTCACAAAAAGAACATTGGGGAACTGGAGAAAGTACAGAGAAGGGCAACTAAACTGATACGACGCATGGAGGAGATCAGCTATGAGGAAAGATTAGAGGAACTGAATTTATTCTCTCTTGAGAAGAGGAGATTAAGGGGGATATGATCAATGTATAAATACATCAGTGGTTCATATAGTGAGCTCGGTGTAGAGCTATTCACCCTGAGGTCAACACAGAGGACAAGGGGGCACTCTTTAATCTGGAGGAAAAGAAATTTAATCTCCACACACGGAAAGGTTTCTTCACAGTGAGAGCTGTGAAAATGTGGAATAAACTCCCTCAAGAGTTGGTTCTGGCCAGCTCAGTGGATTGTTTCAAAAAAGGCCTGGATTCTTTCTTTGATACACAGAATATAACTGGATGATAACATTTATAGGTAAAGTTGATCCAGGGAATATCCGATTGCCTCACAAGGGAACAGGAAGGAATTTTTTTTCCCCGCAGGTGCAAATTGGATCGTGCTTTGCTGGGTTTTTTGCCTTCCTCTGGATCAACAGCAAATACAGAGGGTTCACCACAAGGTGCAAACCATTCAAAAGCCTGAAGAATAGAAAAGCCAGAATAGATTTTACCAAAAATCATCTAAAAAATTCTGTACCAGAATGACGGGAGGAAAACTGTGTAGTAGGCTTGGAACAGCTCATGATCCAAAGCACACAACGTCATCTGTAAAACATTGTGGCGGCAATGTGATGGCATGGGCATGTATGGCTTCCAGTGGCATGGGGTAATTGGTGTTTATTGATGATGTGACATAAGACAGAAGCAGCCGGATGAATTCTGCAGTGTTTAGAGATATACTGTCAGCCCAGATTCAGCCAAATGCAGTAATGTTGATTGGACAGTGCTTCACAGCACAGATGGACAATCATCCAAAACACACTGCAAAAGCAACCCAGGAGCTTTTGAAGGAAAAGAAGTGGAATATTCTGCAATGGTTGAGTTAGTCACCTGATCTCAACCCAATTGAGCATACATTTCACTTGATGAAGGCAAAACTAAAGGCAGAAAGACGCACAAACAAACAACTGAAGACAGATGCAGTTAGAGCATCAGAAAGGAGGAAACCCAGTCTTTGGTAATGTCCATGGGATCAAGAATTCAGGCAGTCATTGCCAGTAAAGAATTCTCAACAAAATATTACAAATTAACATTTTATTTATGTTTATATTCATTTGTCTAATTACATTTGTGCCCCTGAAAATGGAGGGACTGTGTATAAAAATGGTTGCAATTCCTAAAATTTGTACTTGATATTTATGTTCAACTCCCAACCCCAATACACAAGGTGGTATCAAAAAGTTTTGAGACTAGCTCTCTTTACAAGAAAGTACTTTATTTAGCTATGTTTACACACTATCACCTTCAAAATAGACCCCTTACAAAGCAATACAGTGCTCCCAGCATTCCTGCCACTTCTGGAATGTGTCCTGGAAGTCTTCTTTTCGAAGCATGTCAATTACCTTCTGCTATTAGCACTGGATCTCTGCAATGTTGTCAAAACAGCGACATTTGAGCTGGATCTTTGCCTTTGGGAAGAGGGTGAAGTAGTCAGGAGACAAATCTGGCAAGTAGAGTGGGTGCGGAAGTGAGATCACTGCAGCCTGGGGACTAACGTGACAGCAACACAGCAACACAGCAACACAGCGTATGTTCAAATCACACGTGAGGATCACCTGATT